GAACATTGGTCCTCTCTTCCATTGAGGACAGTAGCATTACAGGGTTTTTATAACAGATTAAGAGCTGCTAAATAGTAACTAAGGCTAGGACCATCCGTGCAAACACTGGTTATTTATCTTCATTGTCTGTTTGCTGCTACAAGACATTGTGTTTCAGAGGACAGCTTACTAGCTGCACATTCTGTGAGCTGTGAAGGAATTAATGAGCTTAGCCTCTTGTTTTCTTTTTTTTTCTTCACAAGGAGGAAAAATACTAAATTGTTGCGGTTTTGCTTATGCTGCCCATCAGCAAAACCAACTTCTACCATTTGGAAAAATCAAAATGCATCTGTCGCAGTGCATGACACAAGGTCACAGAGTCAATTTAGTTAACCGGATCAGGTATTCCTGGAGTCTTAGGCATACAACTGTCTTAGCACAAGGAGGAGGCACTGAGAACCAGCAGAGTGAAAATAAAGGATGCACCATCTTCTGCAATATTAACAAATTCTCAGAATATGGAAAATTTAATACATTTCACATTGTAATCTTTGCAAGGAGATATATAAATTTTAATATGATCTCATTCTTGAGTTACTTTATTGCTCTGTTCAATTAAATAGTATTCAATGATTAACCACTTACAAGGATATTATATTTTATTCATACTCAATTGACTCCAGTCAAACTGCTCTGCTTTTTCCAGAAAAGATAACTAGTTCTAAGGAAAAATAGTTATTTCCTGTGTAAGGCCTAAGTATCAGCAAGGTAAAAGTAGCAACTAAATACAGCAACTTTATTTAAATATAATAAATACAGCAAGTATTATTTTTGCAGTTCACACATGGGGAGATTCAGGCTATCACATCATAATTGCTTACACCACTGATACAGGTTTAACTGCTAAGCAGCCTAAGGATGAGGACTGTCTCATGTAATGACTATTTCCACCAAAACTGTAGCAACCTGCCTGTTGCACTTTCTTAAGGCATTTTATTTTCAACTGTGTCCATTGTTAATTACTGCTACAGAACTAAAGATAAAGATCCTGGATCATCAGATTAAGTGGTGTAGGTCTACTGCTGAAATAGCCTTGTTTGTTTATGTGGTGTAGCAGGTTATTCCAATACCAACTCACCTTCACATTTCATCCCTTAACATCTTAACTCTACTCATTCTTAGTGTAAGAAATAAGTAAAACCGATGACTCCTTGTCTTGGGCACTGACTCTTTGCCCAGAACACTTATGTCCAAAGATCACCCTCCGGCCTTTGCATCTCCTTCAATACGGCAGTTAAAGCAACGATTTCACTGCATCAAGATGTCAGTATCTGCAACTCAGCTTTCAAATGCTACCTGTTGCACCAAAGTAACCTGGTCACCCATGTTGAGTATCACAAGATATTTGGCTTCATCATCACGTTTTGCATCAGACAAAAATAAACCATTCAGCTCCGAAGTGCAGTTAACCACTTGGGTCAAAAAACTCATATCACCATGCTATCTAATGCTAACAGTACATCACTTATGTCTTCTCATTGAATAAAAGCTGCTTCTTTCAACCTCTCTTTTTTTACAAACTTGCTGCCTCACATGAGCATTACCAAGACTCAGTCTGTTTTCAATTGACATGAAACTGTTAATACAAGTAGATTTCTAGTTTGTAGGAACATTGCGATAGTATTTACTTACCTTTGCATTGGAAATTTAAATAAAATTGCATGTATTATCATTGGTGAGACACTGGGAACCATGCAGACATGTTCACCAACCCAGACCAGGGGTACTGTGCTCCTGCACGAGCAGTGCATTATTCTCCCACGCACTGCTGTGCTCTCTTGCAAGGAACCAGGGAGCAAAGGCAAGGAGGCAGCAAAGTCTGCACCCTCTTGTAAGGAAGACATACATTTGTGTGTTACACCCTACTGAAAGATATTCCAGAGATTGCTGAGGAATCTAAATGCAGAAAGCCTGACAAAAATTATTGTAACTGAGAATCTAAGGCACAGAGAGATTAAAATATCTTGCCCAAAGCCTCTTCCAGAAGATCACACCAGAGGGAAATTGAATCTAGATCTCACGAGTATCAAACACAAGACTTCTTTCATTTTTTCTGTTTTCCTGAGGTACTAGAAAGTGCAAACCGTTTCCTTATCACCAGAAATTTCACAAAGCTTGGCCACTCTGATCACAACACTTAAAATTTTTAAGGACATACTATCCCTTGAACACATACTTGGCTTTCATTTAATTTAAGAAAAGCTGCACCTGCATACATCTGAACCATACATTGTTATATTTGAAACATTTTAAAACACATATTCCACTTTATTATCCCTGCATTTAGCTCTATTACACATACAAAGAAACAGATACTGCAAAACAAAACCAGCAACAATATCAAAGTATTAGGTATTCATGTCTGAGAAGGCACAGTATTAAGCGTTGTATGGAACATAACCTGAAATTACCTAAAATGGGAAGAGGGTGTGAGAACATGACAGTGGTTAATACAACAGTCAGTGTAGTAGATAAACTGAATGCATAACTGTTGTTCAACAAGTCCTGCATGTGACAGCTAAGGATCTGGTAAGAAGTGGATTTCAACAGGTAATGAAAAAGCAATGTACACAGCCTTTAACGGCTGAGCTGAGCTCTGGAACTGGCTGCTACAGGAGATTGTGGAGGAAGACAGTGTATCAAGTGGTTCACAAAAGCATACAAAATTCAGAGAGGACAGACCCCCAACAGGATCTCATCTACTTCTCCTGGCAAATATACATTAAACTAGATATGTAGTTAGTGTGCATCTCAACAGTCCCCTGGAGCACCTGTATAGACAGATGTTCCCATGTACATGACATTTTAGCTCTACATACTGTGGAAGGAGTTCAATCTTCCTTGGGAATCCAGGCTTATATGGTTTTCATGCAAAATTTCTGGAAAATTATGATGGGAATGGAATTCTTAAGGCAACTAAACCCACAAATGCAATGAAAACATTGCAAAGAGAGTTCCCTGGATCACATACAAACAAGGCTAAGCTCTGCAGCATCTATATACTGCTATTTTCCATAACTGGAAAATGTTCTTCCCACTAATTGCAATTATTTTCTATAGCACAGATGTAAGCTCATGAGACAGGCTTTGCATGAGTGGCCCTAATTTGATAAGTATATTGTCACCTGATCTCTCTGTATAAAGACCAGGGATGTGCCCTTTGCTATCAGTGCAGTATTAATTCTGTATGTGCTTACACTTCCAAAGTAATTATTCCAAAAGACTGGAGGAGGTTTTAAGAAGCACAAACATTTCACTTTTGCATAAGATTCTGGAACTTGCTTGTTTCTAGCACACAGAAAACCATCTCAATCCTCATTTTAGACTGCTGTCTTAATATTTACAGGCTTGAGACACAAGATTTCATTAGTTTCTCTATCATTAAGATCTGTTTCAATATTAAATAAGACAATCAGAAAGCTACTCATATAAGAAGACAACCCTGAGCCAAGACTTCAGGGATTGGTTTTATTTCAAGCTTTAAAGAGATATCAAAAAAAAAAAAATCAACAAGAAAACTAAAATACTCATAATAAAGTTAAAATAATTCAGCTTTGCCTCCTAGGTAACACTTTCCCACTTCCTATGGAAAGACTTACTCTAACCACCCTACATATATTCCTTATTTCTTTTATGTATATGCTTGTCCTTCAATTTGTATGCCTCAAGACTTCTGCATACAATTTAAGTTAAGCAGTAAAACTGGGATATATGCAGAGCCTTTATAATGACCATTTTCCAGTTGTGCTTGTCTATTTAAGTCTGTGAAAACACCTGCATCAATTCCAACAGTACTTTTGAAGTTTTATATAAAGTGAAGCGAGACACTAAACTTTTGGAGACCACAGAATGGTTCTCTAGAGAGAACTGTTCGCTAGGGATAACTACTATATGTATGCCACACAAGTTCAAAAACAGTAGGAAAAAAATTCCACAACCTGCTGGCTATCCTCCTGCTGATGCAGCCTGCCACACAGTTAATATGCATCACCATATTGGTTTCATGACAACTGATAGTCAACTTGTCAAAAAAATCTCCGTATCACCAGTTACAATGACTAGGCTACCATATTTTTAATTCTGAAATCTAAAAATGTAAGTAAAACTCAGCATAGGGAAAGGACACATTAAAAACATTTTTTTTTTCATTACTCTGACATAAATTTGCAAGTTTTTTATTATTGGATTTTTCAGCCATATTTAATGATTTATGCAAACTGTTTTTACAGAAAGGATGCACCAGTCCACTATCTCTGCTAATGACACGCCTTAGCTTCATAGAGGAAATTACCGATGTTCTCCACAAATCACCAGCTGAGAGGTGAAGCAGTGCCATTTAAGCCTATCATTTCATCAGGCTATGAACTCATTATAGGGCAGCATCTGAGTCAATAGAACATCATTTTTTTCCTTTCCAAAATTACAAGAAGCAATTATTCACTCCTGCGTTAGCTTTCTCCTAATCTGAAGTTAACTTATTTCACAGAATCACAGATATTTGTCCTTTTTCTTAAAAGTATCCCACTGGTTTGTCTGTTAAAAGCCAATGAAATGTTTCTTATTAAACAGTTACATTTAACATCGTAATCAACACGAAATTCTGAAGGAAAAAAAAATCTAATTTAATTTCCTTTATATGCAAATAGACAATCTTTAAAAAAATCACATATAAAATATTATTCCTCAAATCTCATGATATAGCCATACAATATTTATATTATGTTTCACTAAACAACAATAGAATACCAAAACAACATTATGTAGCTTTTAAGCCACCTAGCAGTGAACAAAAAAAAACCCAAAACAACCCAAAACCTTTATATAACTTTAAATATAATCAGTAAATATAATAGAAGCCAAATCCAAAATCCACTGATGGAGGTCATGGGAGTCTTCCCATTAACTTCCATGTGCTTTGGGATAAATATGAGCAAGTAAAAGGAGTAGAAATTAAAACTTACCCATGAATTCAATTCCTAAATGGTCTGCTATACCCAAGAAAGCATGTAAAAGAAAGAAGAAAAAAGAGACAAAAATGTTAGAAATAGACTAAACTGCAAATTTTACCGTTATCATCACTGGTAGCATTCCATATTTGTACGGCAGAGCTGCAGAATACCATGTTGGGTCAGGGTCCCATTGTGTGGGTACTGATCAAAAAGAAAAGCAGAACTCTGCTCTTCGAAGGGTAATCCTAAGACTTGAATATAGGACACTGAGCTGTCACAGAGAGAAGTGTTCTTGGCAAAAGACGTGAACGCCTTTACTCACTGTATTTATATTTGACTTGAGTGTCTCAAGGCAGCTATCTATAGGAATTTCATTTTCTTTTTATCCTGAAACTCCCCTCTCAACATGCTAACTACTTAGTTACTTACTAAGTCATTACTTAGGTTCTTGCTTTCATTTTCCCTGACAGAGATCAAAACCTAAAGAGATGAATGGAAGGCTTTGCAGAGTGTTGCAGCTCTCACTACAGCACACTTGCACCCAATGTGATTGCAAAACTGCTATCTCTCGTGTAACAGACTTCAGGAAAGAGCAGCCATGTTCTCTACTTAGCCATCTGACTGATATGATGTAGTCATTTCAACACATTTAGAACTGAAGCAAAAATGTTAACATTTTTAGAATATTGACTGTGAGATCAAAACATCCCATGTGAGATCAAAATGTTCAGGACCCTTTTTCACATGACAAATCAGGGTATATATCTCTTAACAGATGTTTTAGTGCAAAGTAGATTTAAATTTACATAAAACTTAATAATTTTTAAGTTTATAGAATGAATGTTTAAGTTGATAGGCAGTTACAGAATAAAAAGCTTTCCACCCTGCAGGGACAGGGCAACAGAAAAAATGCTAACTGACTTTTCAGAACTGAGTGTATAAGGGATAGTAGCTTCAAGTCCAAAATTAAACTGTGAAAGGCTGTTCAGAAAGCCTGCAAAATGCAGTTCTGTTTCACATGTGACAAATAATTTGTTTTTCCCGGGGAGGTAATAATCTGCATTATAAAGAGCAAATAAGATTTTTTTTTCCCTTTAAAATATAATAAAAGCAAAATACTTCCATTGTGTCTATCTTCCTTTCAAGTTATAGTTTCATTTCCTTAATACAGAACAGATTAATACATGATTTTGCCAAAGTTTTCAACAGCAGTGTATGCAGAGGAATGCAGCAAGGAAAGAGCAGGAGTGTTACAAGAAAGACAGGATAAGACTGATGTGTTGGCTCGTACAGGGAGCTAGGAGATACTACTGGAAGCTGTGTGAAACACTCAGTCCCATTAACTAATGTACTGCAACCTTCAAAAGCCCACTTAAGAATGATACAGAAAAGTTAAAGGAAGATTTTCCAACATTAAAGAATAATTTTAAACTCATTATCTAATGAATTGTCAGCTCTGGTACCTGTGATGAGAATGTGAAATACCTGGGTTTCTGTTGAAAATGCTGGGAGTGATTTGCCTTTTGCAACCTTTGAATCCTCCCAGTAGAGGGCATTGAACATCAGCTTGCCCAGTTCACTCAGAATACAGAACTATGTAATAGTTGCTAAACTCTACATTTCTTTTCATTCAGAAGACCCAATATGCATTTCAAAAGAAAAGAACATAGGATGATGATATGTGGTATAAATATCTTAGCAGCGTGATTTTAGGAAAGACACGTTATGCAAGTCTAGTGACACCCAAATGAATCTTTCTTTTTGGTATTAAATACATGACTCAGAATCATACATAGATGTATTCCACATTACAATCTTCTAATTCATCTTCTTGCATTCATGTACAAGCATCCCGTACAAACATCCCTGGTACATTTGACACAGGGATGCATTTTTTCTAAGAGCATCAGTTCAGAAATACCAAAACTGCATTCAATGTACTATATTCAGTGATTTGTAATTTGTTTTTTTATTCTTTAATTTTCTCTACCTGTGAAATCTGCGGACACTATCTGCATGAAATTCACATCTTGCATCCTTCTGTAGACTGGAACAAGATGCAGTCAACAACTGATTACTTTCAAAAATGTAACAGAGACTGAAGTACCACACTCTGCTTTCCAAGGAGCTACGGATATTCACACATTAATCAAGATCATTCAATATCATCTTTTTAAGTCAATCTAGAACAGCTGAAAAAACAATCCTCCTTTCCTAACTGGGCTAGCCAGTTTTCCATTTGCAGTCTGCAATCTCCTCACTGGGTTCACCAACATAGTTAAAAGCCACTTTCTCAAAAAGTGCATAGCAAATACACCTTTCCTTTAAAAAGACGGAAAAAAGCATTTCAGCTCATCTTTGGGTGGCTCATATGTAAGTGACAGTGAAGGGTGTCTGTAGCCTCCCTGGCAAATGTATTCCACTGGAGAAAGTGGAAACATGGCAGGTTATTTATTTTAAATATCTCATGTGCCTGGAAAGCAACTTTAGCAACCACCATAATATATACTGCTGACAAAGTTGATTTAACCAGATTATGATGAAAGGATACCTAGTTGGATAAACCTGTACACTGAAATATCCAAGCTGCCAATTCATATCATTAACCATAGCTCAACAAGCTCACACAGCTATGTGAGAATAGAAAATAATAAAATTACAGTTCCTGCAGATTCAGCATGTGCTGGCACTGGCGCAGCCCTTGTACAATGGCAACAGTGTCCAAGTGTGGGAGCTGGCCTCTGTGCTCACCTTTCTGTTTGGGAATGGATGCTGCACCAATGCCAGCAGCGGCAGAAGAGCCGTGGCTGGGAGGTGGCAAAGGCAGCTTGGCTGGAGGCCTGCTGGATGTACAATGGGAAACACCACAGGCGACAGCAGCGCCCCTGGGACTGTACATTGCCAGCAAGCCTTCCACACCATCAGGTATCATGCAAGCACCACTCAAATGCAATAAACCATGGCTGGTGGTTTGTCTTTTCCTTCCCTCCCCTCTTTTTAAAACTGCAAAAAGTCTATAACGCAACCATTCTCCATGTTCTTCCCCTCGCTCCCTGGTTTGAGTGTCAGCCTCTGTGTTTAAAAGAGAAAAGGCATTCTGATCCCAGGAACAACAGCACTACTTGGGCTGCTCTGAGACTTCAGAAGCAAAAAGGAAAAAGAAAAAAGAAAACCATATTAAGAACCTGAATGTACTTGCATTGTTCTCTTCCTTTCCCCCCTCGCTGCAGAAATTCAGTTGCATTCACAACTTATCAAAACCCTTTGCATTCACAACTTATCAAAACCCTAACTTTGAAACTTGTTTTCCTCAATAAAAATATGGCTCCCGCAGCAATGGTGTTTATCAAATACTCAGCAAGTTGAATGGGGGACACTAGGCAGGGAAATGTCATAGAAGAAATGTCACCAGTCATTAATCATACCCATTTTTTGGCTCTCAATGTTTTTATCATTTTAAGATGTCTACTCCACTAGCTACAGGAAAAAGATTAACCAACCAAAGCAACAAAACACCACAAAACATGAACAAACCCAAACCCCATATATCTTAGCAGCTGAAAAAAAAAGGAGAGAAGACAACTGCTTCCAACCCCAAACCCTTACCTGAGCTAGCCCTGGACAAAGACTGCCTCCATGACCCACATACACCTTTTCAGAAGGCAGAAAGTGAATGCTAGCTGTCTTGGAGTACAGGCTTTACAGGGCAGTTTGCCACTTCCAGTAGAGGAGTGTCTGGATTCCCATACACATAAAGGGGTCAGAAAAATCCCTGCTGGAAACAGTGGCGAGTCCCCAGGGCTTCTAGGGCTGTTCTTCCCACCCTGCGCCCATCGCATGCGGGCGACAAGGAAAGGTGGGATGGGGAGAAACACATGGAATAGGTTCTGATCATCACTGGGTTGCCTTCTGGTGATCAAACATCAATCTGGTGGTTACTCTCACAGTGCTGTAGCAAAAATAAATGTATTTTGGAGATGAGTTTTGCCCCCTCTTAACAACAGCAAGAAACTCCCAGCAGGTCCATGTGAGAGACAAGCATGGCAGTGGGAACTGCACAGTAGAGGCAAAGGGGGGAAAGCAAGCTGTGGTGGTGACCTAAGACTGAATCAAACACTAAAATATAAGGTATTAACCCATGACATGCCACAGTGTAACAAAGAACTGCTGTGCTGCTATATAGCAGTAATACATAAATGATAAATTGCCTGCAGAGCACTTCCTTGGACACAGTGAGTGCAGTGCCAAGTAATTCACCATCAAGCACTGCAGTTTCTTTAAGGTCTCAGTTCAACAAAAATGCACATGAAAGCTGTTAATGTGCTGAAGAGTGGGTGCTGCTCCACAAGATGGGCTCATTAGCCAAATAAAGTGACTGTAATTTACTTTTGTTATTGCAATTTCTTCTTTCTTTCTGGTATTGTTATGTTCTTAGGAACTTAAGATATTGCTCAGGAAGAATACTCACTTTTATATTTTGTTTTATGAATATATCTGTATTTTGTTGTTGATGTGGGGAAAATACTGTGCCTTATGGCCCTTGCACTGTGTGAATTTGTTGCTAGTATCAAAGCCATTTTAATTTATACTTTATGAAAACATACACACTTGGGAATACTTGATAACAAGCACAAGAGAAGATAAATTTGCACTCACTAAAGGATTAATTTATTAGTACTTCACAAAGAAAATGCAGCCTTGTGTCTGGACTGTGGTTTGTTAGGACTTTTTTTTTTAGTCATAGAGTCATAGAATGGTTTGGACTGGAAAGGACCTTAAGATCACCTAGTTCCAACCCTCCTGCCATGAAGGGGCCTACAAGGACACCAGAGAGGGACTCTTCATCAGGGACTGTAGTGACAGGACAAGGGGGAATGAGTTTAAACTAAAACAGGGGAAGTTCAGGTTAGATATAAGGAAGAAGTTCTTTGCTGTGAGGGTGGTGAAGCGCTGGAACAGGTTGCCCAAAAAGTGGTAAATGCTCCATCCCTGGCAGTGTCCAAGGCCAAGCTGGACAGAGCTTTGGCAGCACGGTCTAG